GACCGAGATAAAAAAAAAAACCTCACCAAATATACCAGGCTTAGAATTTGGTATCTAGCGCGTTTCGTACCGTTTTAAACAAAAACTAATCAGTAAACCTTGAATCCAGAAAGTTGGAAGGTTGAATAAAATACGAAGTTAAAGACCATTAAAAAACGAAAAATCCGAAAAGCTGTTCAAAATACGGCTGAGGTAATATATGTCTAGGGGTGCAAAAACGTCGTAAATCCAAAATAGATTTACGCACCAAGATAACAAACAACTTCGACGGATTTATAAAAACTCATCAAAGATACCAAGTTTACAATTTGGTACGACAGACGTGCGTGTTGTCTACATATATAAGAAACATCAGCGGCGCTCGAATCAAAATAATGTGAAAGCAAAATCTTACAAAGTTGAAGTGTATTTTAACAGACGTTTTCTGACGAAAAGTTTTGCCAAGTACTGCTAAGGTAATCTATACTTGATGGTAGAAAAAGCCTCAGTGTTTCGAATTCAAATAAATCAATATTTAACAGTTAACTTATGGAAAATTAGCACATGTCATTGATATTTGATGTACATAAAATAAACATTATTTCTTTTCGAATGTCGTTGGATTAAAGGATATCTCTATGTATATGAGAATAAATAACAATTACTTAAGGAAAAGACTATTTTAGAATAAACTTTCCATGTAAGAGCATGAACGTCTTTGTGGGTAGTGTACTAAGAAGTCGTTAACAATCCATACAAAAAAAAACTACTAATGTGAATATTCTTGTTATGTAGCAAGAACAAACTGTAGAAAGACTAATCAATAAGTACTTGTATGGTTTATGTCCCCTGTATAAGTTATATTTAAGGGTAAAATTAGAAAGTTGTGGAATCCTAATATAAGTTAAATATAACAATAAACAGCCACATTCGTATATGCAAATTTTCTTAAGGATTTTTCCGCAATTTTACCTTTAATAATTAACTTCTTAATCACATTTTTTGAAAATCATTCAAAACTGAAGATAAGAATTACAAATTTTGTCATTTAAACTTTGATTATGTAAATATAAGGGAGATGTAGTATGATAGCCAATGAGACAAATATCCATTAAACCAAATTTGTAGGACAAAGATGTGAACCAAAAAAAAAGAAACTGTGATAGTATGATTTTTGATAAAGATTGAAAGACTTTTAAATATGTCGACGTTTTTTAAAATTCATTAACGGGAAATTGACCACATCCCATTGAAGTGCAAAGTACTAGTATATACTTATTAAAGGAAAGATACATGTTTACCAATAATCAATTCATGAAAAATATGAACTTTGAAATGTTTTAACTAAATTAAAATTATTCAACGTTCAGCTGCTAACGCGATTAGATTATCAACGATGCCAAAATTTAAAGTGAACGCTATTCGATAATGAATGTAATAGAATCAGTGCTTTCATTTCTTGTTATTATCAACATTATGTATTTCATATTGATAACTTTGTTTGGTTAAAATAACAGGCTAATAATTCTACGATCCTGGTCTATGTCCTCTTACATAATCAAGTATTTAATTTAGTTAATGCTGAAAAAAGTCAAGTTATGTAAACTATACAATCATATTGTCGTTATCTTAGCAGAGTGGCAATTATTCCTTTTAGTTATACATAATGGTTTTCAAGTTATTTTTCATAGAGTTAAGTTTATATAATAATCAATATTTGTCGTCTACTTTTGTCAAGATAACTGTTGCTTGACCATTCCGGTTATTGATTTACTGATTGACAAATTAAGTAGGGGCATCTTAGAAAAAAAATGGATGATGTGAACAGCTATTTTTATTAAAAATGCAGATGCTTATATCATTTTAGACTCGTGCATGCTTCGTCCCAAATTTAATCTTTTGGGTAGGAGGTAAGCAAGTGTATGACAAAAATATACAACAAAATGCATAGGGAAATCAAATAAGTAACAGAGTATCCGCCGGTGATACGTCATGCACTCATTACATGATTCCAAAGATTTCAAAAATTACATCAAATTAACAACAACAGAAGTTAATCGATGTGCAATCCTCGTAAATCCATTCAGAATATAAAAACTACGATAAAACAAAACCTGAGGAAATCGTATGAACTACAAACGGAGCGTGACATGGTGCCTCGTTTTGACTAGCGTAGCCTGCTATGCATGCATCACCCCCCATGTGAATCCATACGCAGTAAATTTCAAAATTTGGAATATGACGCAATCGATCAGCTATGAAGTTAGACAGATCAGCTGCGCTCAAAACAAAACCATTGGAAGGCAAGATCAATTACAAAGTCCAATAGCTTTGAAAACCCAAATTTCCATAAAGGTGTGCCAAACCTCGCTATGACAGCGTTTAGTGAATAAAAAATAAATCGGGACAACATAGACCAACCCACTCATGTTGAAGATGGAAGAACTTGTGAAGTGATAATGTGCTTCTTCTTCCTCGTGCTTTTGATAAAACTTATGTTGAGTGTATATATATTGTTACCCTAATAACTTTTTTTTTTTTAGAAAGAACAGTACATCTATAAATTTTATCTCCAATAACTCCACAAAAGGTAGACAGATATTTACCCAAGATGCAAAGAGTTCAGTGTTAATAAATGTGCAATTAATCATCCAGAAAAAAATATTTGTAAATATTTGTTTATTAGCTACTCATTCTTTTACCTTAAAAAATGTAGTAATGTCAAAATGTTTAAAATTGCATTTTAAAATAAATATTTGTTTGAACAAAAGCAAGTCATGGTGTTACTCTTTGAATAGAAGATAAGCAAACGGTTTATAGCACAAGCCTTTAGTTTTGTCAATGATTTAGATTATAAGTCATAAATTATTTTGGTTTATATCGTTATATCGTTATACATCAATGATAGAAAGTGCAAGGCTGACGAAAAGTCTAACGTTAATCATCTTAAAATCTACATGGGTGTTGTTGCAAATTCTTTTACAAACTATCTTGTGCAAATGATTAAATAGTTCAAACGCATTAATAGTCCATATGCATGTTCATATTTTCTTAAAGGACAAAATATTTCCTATCTGTATGAAAACTCTTTTTACAGAAATTTTATATAACTGCGACTGTTATTGTAAAACTATTGTCATTTAACTTATAGATAGGTTTCGTATCGGTTATTTCTCATTCAGCACGTGCATTCTATTGATATATGACGATTACAAATAAATACTTTTCAGTTTTGCGCATATTGCAGGTGTTTATCACTGTACTTATTGAAATTGTTGCATTTTCATTTACATTTTACTCCGATTAAAACGTACTGATAATACTTTTTTGCATCTATTAATTTCCTCACACCTCCGGCTATTTAAGTGTAAAACTGATAATGAAATGTGATGTTGTCATAAACATGTAAAGCAAGTCACTGAACAATGCGACCACTATATTATATCCAAACTTATCTAAAGAATTCCCTGTAAAAGTGTTCACATTTTCAGTGATGTAAGAAGAAAAATTTCAATATAAATAATTAATGAACGCTAATCGTCCAGCAGCAGTTATTGCATGCATATTAAGCACGATAACAAATTACCGTTACATGTTACTTACATGCTGTTTTGCCCTGGCACGCTGAGTCAAAATTGTAGCATAGTAGCTAACATGTTTAAAGTCTGCACTTTAACATGTGAACCTTGCCTGACTATCTGAGTTGATTAGTCTATATTCGATCTTCAACATTCCGTGCTAAGAAGAGATGCAACAAATACCAATTTATTTTTATTCGTTTGACCTGATCGGGGATCGCATCCGTGTTCCCCACCCCTTGAACTCCAAGTCCTTGCTGCAATATTGCCACGGAGGCCTTAAATAAAGGCACCAGTAGTATACCGCTGTTCGAAAGTCATAAATCGATTGAGAGAACAAATCCGGGTTACAAACTAAAACCGAGGGAAGCACATCAATTATAAGAAGAAAACAACGAAACAACAGAAACACTGAAGTGAACAAAAAACTAACGACAATGCAACACACAGAGAAACGAACTATAAGATAACAACTGCCATTTTCCTGACTTGGTACAGGACATTTTAAGAAAACAATGGTGGGTTGAACCTGGTTTTGTGGCTAGCCAAACCTCGCGCTTTTATGGCAATGTTAAATATAACACTAAAATGACAACATAACATGACAGGAATACAGTACAAATAAATGCAAGAACATTCAGGACAGAGAAATACACAAATAAACAATACAATAGTACATTTCGACATGCTAACCACAGAATAAAACGAACACGTAAAACAACATAGAACAGCACACAAAAACAGCATAACACAACCACGAACTGTCTTTCATACGACTGGATCAACATCACAAAAGTGACGTAACAGGTAAATTTCAAAAAAATTTATACAGTTCAAAATCAGGTTTGTAACTATGTCATTTGATGTATTATATAACAATTACATGAATATTAATATAGAATTGTGTTAGTAATTAGATAATTAATTGTATTATCTAGCTATGTCGGTATTTCTTCTAAATCAAACTGTAAAACAAATAAATCGTGTACATATAGTTGCTTTAAACTAAAATCTTATAAATGAACTGGGTGATTAATTATCTTTACTTTTACATACGAATAGAAAATAAAAAAAGATAGAATTACAACTACAAACGATAAGACATTTAACAATATCCGATCAGAATTACAAATACAACATCATTTTTATATTAGTGTTATTCTTTAAAATTGAGTTGGTATGCATTAAAGTTTACATTCTTAAAACATCCATGATTAAATTTATTTTTGAAAGCATGAATTATACTTCAAAATATGTGCAAGACCGTTTCAAATCAAGTCCCCTTTTTTTCCAAAAAGCTTTGTAAAACAATATGAAAATAACTAGAGACAACTTTTATATAAAAACAAATGAAGCTGCAACCCTACAAGAGAACCATACCACTATGGTTACAAAGAAGACACGATGTCTATTTTCTTAAATATAAAAGTTAAATAAACTTACCTTGGAGGTATCGAATCAACACACACATTGTCGCTCCAAAAATGAAATTTTGCAAAAACATTGGAATTAAAGTAAACGGCATGCAAAATACTGCTAGCAACAAATCACTTACGGCAAGGTTCAATAAAAATACATTTGTAACAGTTCTCATCCGTTTATTATGTACTAATGTAAATATAACTAAAAGATTCCCTACGACTGCAGCAATAAAAATAAAAATGTAAATCACAATTAATATATAACTCAAGGAACTCGTTGTTCCATTTTTGGGAAAGTTTCGAACTTCTGTTAAATTATCAGTTGGAATAGAAGAATTATTGAAATCCATTTTTATCTTCAATACCACTTTACTATTTTAATGAAAAAGATTATTTTCTTTATAGTATTTTTCCTCAAAACAATCTATCATATCTCTCCATTATGAGCTGTACGCAATTAAGACTAGTATCATCCAGATTAATTGTAACTGTAAATTAGAATCAATCAGGTATTTATAATATCTCTATCGTAAAATTCATAGAACATTTCAAATCTTTTGAATGTCAATGAGGCGCAAATGCGCATTAAACCTGCATTCAATAAATTTGTTTCATCTCTAAAAATTAATAAACAGTTATGATGTATTTATCAAATAGTTCTCCTGATATGTAATCAAACTAGTTCGGCTTGTCATATCACTGTTGACATATGATTCAAACATCGACTGTAAAATACCAACAATTTATAAATGATGGTCTATGTCACATACAGATGTACATTTCTACTTGTTAATTACAAACACGGGTCATCTAAATTTCTATTGGTTTTCTGTTTTTAGTTGCGGAGTTTAGCCAGAAAGGCAATAGTCAATAAAATACACCCACTGGAATAATAACTTTAACAAGGCATTGGCTGTCATAATCCTATCAAATTATCTCTTACTATATTATTAATAAAATAATGCAGACAATTTCTAAAAATCACGTCTAATCCGAGATGATGATAAATTAATAAATTAAGGTAACTAAGATATTGTTAGAATATTAATCAAACTATGATTCAATAATTTGATTTGTAACACACCTTGTCTATATTTTTAAAAGGCGATTTAGAGATGGAAATGCGTTCTTTGCATCTGTACGCAGTTAAAAGTCAAGTTCTAGCCTTAATGACGTTAACGTCGCATTTCCAGAATTTGTATAATAAAATTTAATAGTAGAAACAATAAATTTTCATATTCAATTTTAATCAATTTTATTGTAAACGGTTATCACGGGGAACAGGATCGGCTTACCATTCCGGAGTACCTGAGATCACACCGGTTATTGGTTGTGTCTGTGTTGCTTAGTCTTTAATTTCCTATGTAGTGGTTTGTCGAATGTTGTTCCTCTTTTCGTCGTTTTTTGTTTGTATCTTGGTTTTGTCGGTCTCTGTTTGACTAATGAGTTTCGATTGAGTATCTTTCACCTCTTATTTAGTTTTGAATGTGGGGATATCATGTATAAGCATTTCATTAAAAAGGCCTTTATAAGTCGATATATTTGATTACACATATGATATTTTGCTATCTTACATGAATGTTTTTATTGGCAAAAATTCAATTAAAGCGGAAACAACTGCTACTTACTACCACTGTGTGGGACCACTACATAAGGACAATCAGTCTCCGATTTAGATGGTACATTTTTTCCTGTAAAGTTCCAATTCATAAATAGCCTATTGATCTACACAAAACTGAGACAGTCGCTACAATTCCTCTGCAAAAAATGATCTTTAGACAGTTAAGACGGTCATGGCGAGTTTGGTCCTGTCAAATATATTTATCTACATGTAGGTCTGTCAACACAACAGATATCGAACGAACTTATGAAAGTTATTGTAAATTCATGCGTTTCATGATAATAGGTATCATATGGGCTTTTTGATATTGTCTTGATTAGTAGATGTTGCTATGTGTATTTGTGTGTGCTTTGTTTTTCGTGAGATATTTTTATCTGACCATGATCTTTTGTATTTACGAGCATTGGTAATATTTCGAAAATAAGAACTAACGTGCCGTTTCATTAAAGCTAATTTTTGTAACTTGCATATAGCTTTTCATGACTTGTATTTTTACATCTCTAACTTTTCCAAAGGTTTGGCTCTGGATATTAAAATTTGTCTAACTAAAGTAGACTAAAATTGTAACAATTCTTGTATTTGTTTTGTTTATTTACTACAATCATGTACATGTACATAGCTCTTGCTGTTAATCGCCGATGTAGAACTTTATCTCCTCAGCAGCGCCAACAATTTGGAAGTCATGGCCTCTTAAATATAATTTGACATTTTTGCAGCTCGTCTATTTATTAATAGTGTTAATTTTGTTTAAATCAAGGTCATAGTTTTTAAGCAACCGTTTTTTGAATTGCTTGTATTGTGTGTGTGTGTGTGTGTGTTTTAATATGTGTTATAAGTATTATCTCAGTATACTTTACATTACAGGTACGATTCATGTTTTAATGATTTCCATTAATGTACATTGCAATTTTGTATTTGAAAAAAAACTATATCAAAAGGTAAAATCTACTAGCTGTATTGGATCAACATATTGCTCTATTTGCATAAGTTACTTTTATGTATGTTTAATTTATGCAACTATTAACTGTCTATCTGATCATATCCCGGAATTGAATTATTCGTATAAGCTGGCAAAACATTGCGACAGTGACTTTGCATGAAAAGTCCCGTGTACGATAAATTCGTTATACGGTTCACTACTGATCCATAGAGGGTAAGTAAAATCCATAAGGGGTGAGGCATTCGTTTGGTTTCACCCGCTATGGATTTTATTAACCCTCTTTGGATCCGTATGGGTTCAGGAGCAATCCATTTAACTTATAATTTACTACTGTTTACTCATTTCTATTGTCATGCGTAATTTAGCTTTGAAAATGGTGTTATCTTTGAAATCATTTTCAATAATCTAATGTCTTTATATAGGGTAATCGTAATAATGTGTTATTTACATAGTTAATTACACACTATTTTAATAAAACATGAACCTTTATAGCTTGGTATTGTTAGGTAAACCCGTGACTTTGTATGATTGATGTCACATCTTATGCGGGATTTTTTCGTGAAATAAAGCTGTTATGTGTGTGTGTTTATTTGTATTTATCATAACATTTTTTTGCTTAACTTAAATATTTGTACTTACGGTAATTGTTAACATTTGAAAATAACAGAACTTACGTGGCGTAACATTAAAGATAAGTTTTGTGCATGTATGTGTAGCTTAAAGTGTTTTATAAATCTTCGACTGTTCCAAAGATTTGGTGACTCTGAATATCTTAATTGGAAACAAATTGAAATGTTTCTAGCGTTTGTTTTGTTTTGTTTAATTTAATACCTCTGGTTGTTTATCGGCAATGCAGAACTGCATCTCTTCAGTAGCGTCGTAGTAGTACGAATTGAATTGGGTCTACATATTACTATATTCGTATATTTTACTTTTAAGTATGTATAATCAAATTACCACCTAATGGAATTCTATGCAACCGTCATACAAGTGAGAGGTTTAGCTAGCTATAAAACCAGATTTAATCTACCATTTTCTACATAAGGAAATGTCTGTCAGGAATATGACGGTTGTTTTCCATTCGTTTGATGTGTTTGAGCTTTCGTTTTTGCTATTTGATAAGGGACTTCCCGTTTTAAATTTTCCTTGGAGTTCGGTATTTTTGTAATTTTACTTTCTACACCTATCTGTTGATAAAATCCGGGAATTCGAATAAGTCATATACGCTGGCAATAGATTATGACAGTGACTGTGAGACATAAAATAACATATCTGTCTCATTAAAAATTGTTTGATATTTTTATCGAAAGTTTATCGCTAGTTAAGATTTAGTTCAGTGTTATGGAAAATCGTGTCAAAGATGAACACAGCTATGTTCCAATTTTCTTAGTCACAAAACATACGTTCTAATATTTTTTGGTTATATGGGAGACACCACTGAATGCAATGTATCACCTTACTGTTATATACCATGAACATAACTACAGGGTCATATTAGTGGTGCAAGCTTTGCTTATACTTCAACTGACCAACTCAATCTAGTAACCCAAGGTTTTTTTTATGTAAGATACATGATGTTTTTCTTTCTTGCTTTTCTGTCTTTTTTTCTGTTATATTTTTTAATAGTTTGTTTTCAGTTTTTATGTTGCGTTGCAATTTTTATGCTCTTTCTATCCTTTCCCCCCAAAGAAACTGTTAGTTATTTCAAACCTTCACTTTCCGCAGTGTTTAAAATCTTAGAGTATTCACTTGTCTTGATGACTTATAAATTTTGCAATGTCACATATCAATACAAACACCAATCAGGATTTTAACAAAAACAACGAGACGGATGTCATGAGTGAAATCAGAACTGTTTCTCTCTTTTGGAGTGCATGACCTATACCCTAGTTTTTGTGTGGTTGTGTTTCTGAATACTTGGGTGTCTGTGTTGTCTTTTTTGTTGTGTTTTTTTTTTTTTGTCTGTTTATCTTTTTCTTATGGCACTTGCGTTGTATTTGCTAGACTGATGGCTTTTGATTGTTCTCTTAGTGTTTTCTCCCCATTTTTAGTACAGTAATTACTTTCAACAAGATTATAACAAGTGTCCAATGTCGGTTAACAAACAATTCGATTCAGATATAAACTTTAAACTAATATTAAAATAAGGAAGTGTGGTATGATTGCCAATGAGACAAATCTCCACCACAGACCAAATGACTTGGAAGTTAGTAACTATAGGCAACTGCATATATGCATTTTATATCACACTCCCATAACATGTGTGTGGTCAGATCCCTTTAAAATTGAAATTGTGGATCTATGATAGTGAATCATTATACAAATAATAATTTGTACATTAACTTTGTACTACTAAATGTGAAAATAAAGTCTTTGATTTAAATGATATTGTAAATGAGTTCGAACATACAAAAATAAAAAGTCTAAATATTATCATGCAAAAGCAACAGAATAAAATACAAGGATGAACAGCAAATGCCATTCAAATTTATATTGCATTCATTGTATCGTGTCAAAATGTTAATGTCTGCATATACATGCTATGTGATGTCTTGGTGTATAATTTATTTATTATTTCTCGGTTCACTATTGCACCTTCAACACAGGCGAGGGAATACATGTATGTTGAGAGAGAAGAATATAACAATTTAATCATATCCCAAGAAATTAAAAGTTTATAATATTTGCAGTTCTGATTCTGCTATCGTTGCACAATCTCTAGACTCGTATAATGTTCTTCCACCCTTATTGTGCATAAACGTCATTAAACCTATCGGACTTGCTGACAAAAGTTCTGAACATTCATAATAAAAAACAGTCGGACAACTAACAAAATCATATACAACAAAACATTAACATAAACATCGTTAAATAAGAATAAAAAGAGGAAAAACAACAAACTACCTCTTACCCTTTGAAATAGAACTTGACTGTTATAAAACCAAAGGCAAACAAATAATGACTGCAATAGAGAAAACAAGTTTCAAGAGTGAATATATCTTTAGAATTTTGAGCAGTAAACGTGAAAACCGTTTTACATTTCATTTGATAAAATACTAAATTCTGTGAAACAATTAAACGGACACTTTACAATATCTACCAATAACCAGTTAATTCAAACGTAAACTGCTATTGTTGTGATTGAAAATTACTGTTTTAACATTT